CTAGGGTCTAGGCCTGAAATGTCAGCCTTCCTGCTCCTATGATGCTGCTTGGCCTGCTGTGTTCATCCAGCTCTACACCAGGATTATACTACCCTGTTTGTCACTTGAGAATTGGGAGCCTTCAAGCACTCATGACGCAAGGCAAAGTCACTGAACAGCTTTAGTGCTAACAAGGCTGAAATTCCAGATACGTGACTGCTATGGATTTGAGGAAAACCAGGGAAGGTTTCCTGTTTTCTTGGTCAAAACATAAAAGACACTGATAAGGAAAGATTATCTGGTCATTGCTTGTATTAAGTGAAATCTGACTAACATGTTTACCTTCGCTACAGTTTGGAAATAATTTATTGGTTGTGACACATTTTTGGACCAGCTGAGATGTAAGAGATGCTATATAATCGCCATGAGAGTTTTTTTTTTCTCTTGATATTATCCACTGGAATTGTCTGTAAGATTTCTCTCCTGTCTTTGCTCAGCAGCAGTGTATCATAATATATGACCTAATTAAGAAAATTCTTCCCAGTGCAAATTTTGTGGCCTTACATCAAAAGTTATTCACACTGAAGGACGCTGGCTGCTCTCAAATGGTGGTGATGGGTCATTCACATGGTCAGGGTGAACAGCACAAACATATAAGAATCCTTATAGTCATGTCCACCCCAATATCCCACCAATACTCAGAGCACCTCACTACCTCAAGGACCCTGACAATTTTCCAAGGTCCAAAACGAAATGGGTAACTCTTTATTCGTCTGCTCCTAAGGGGAACATGAACCTTCTACTGCAAAGATGTTGGATTCCCAGGCATCTTCTGCAGCCTTATCAGGGGCACATCAGCTCACAACTTGCAATAACTGTTTTGAGGTCTTAAAAGGAAGCCCTGGACATAATTCGTACTGAATCACAGAATCCCTACTGTGTGGAGCAGGCCATTCAGCCCATCAAGTTCACACCAACCCTCTAAAGAGCAACCCCCCAAGACCCACCCACCCTTTACCTTATCCCTGTAACTCTACCTTTCCCATGGCCCATCCACCTAACCTGCACATCTTTGGACTGCAGGAGGATTTGGAGCACCTGGAGGAAATCCACACAGACAGGGGGAGAATGTACAATCTCCACACAGATAGTCACCTGGGGATGGAATTGAACCCAGGTCCCTGGTACTTTGAGGCAGCAGCGCTAACTGCTAAGCCACCATGCCACCCTAATTCAGAACCACTTTCAGACTTGTCTCTTGTAGAGGAGCAAACACAACAGACATCTGTTTCATTTCCCATAAGAACTGAAATACTTTGCACAGGATGCTCTCCAGTGCCACTGTTTTCTGCCCCAATTTCAAAGGAACTGAGGAGTAGGCCATTCAGCCCATTGAGTCTACTCTACCATTCAATAAGATTATGACTGATGTGGCGTAGTCTCAGCTCTACTTTTCTATCCACTCATTGTAACCTTTGGCTCCCTTGTTAACAAAAATCTAACTCAGCTTTCAAAAAGTTCAATGATCCAACCTCCACTGGTCTCTGTGGGCAAAGATTTCCACATTCTAACAACCATCTGAGAGAAAGTAAAGAAACTTAAAAGGTGTCTTAAAGAGGCTTCTTATTCTTAAATGATGTCCCCTACTATTAGTCTGTCCCACCAGAAGAAACATGGGGTCTTGGTCTGCCCTCTGCCCACTGCAGAGACCTCTGTGTAATGTACCATAGATACCGTATCCTCTGGAGGCAATTACAATGACCTTTGAAACTGACAGTCTCAGAGACGACAGTGAAGGAATTAAAAAGGGACTCGGTCACCCTGAGCCGGCAAGCAGGTGAATAGGTTTGTGACTGATTGCTGGCTGTCGGGTTCTGTACTGTGTGTATAATCTGTCTAATTTTGATTTATCACCTTCTCTCTATCACTTGGCACTTCATTGTTTGGTGACCAAGCTCAGGTTATGTGTTGGTTTCTACTGCAGTCTGTCACAGGGCTTGAGGTGTTGTTGGGTCACTGATTCTCATGGGTTAATGATGTTGGCTCAGAGTCAGAGTTATATCATTAGAAAGATTGAGAATGTGTTGTACAGATCAGGCTGTGCTAGAACATGGTGTTGCTGCAGAATAAGGCTGGAATGTTCTTTAGGTGCTGTAAATTGGTATGTGTAACTGAGCTTAGCAGTTATTATTCCTGAATGCGTGTGTGTGTGTGTGTGTGTGTATATGTGTGTGTGTGTGTGTGTATGTGTGTGTGCGTGTGAGAGAGTGTATGTGAGAGAGAGAGAGACAGTGTGTGCGTGAGAGAGAGAGTGCAAGTGAGAGACAGAGAAACTGGGAGCCTCTGTACAGGGTCAACAGCATTTTCACCAATTACTGGGTGACAAGGAGTAGGCAAAAATAATTCCAATACCAGAATCACAGGCCAAAAATAGAACAAGAGCAAAATACTGCCGATGCAGAAAGTCTGAAATAGAGACCGAGAGGTGAAAGTCCTCAAAAGGGATCTGCAGAGGGACAACCCAAGTTAATGTTGCAAATCTGTGACCTCTCACCAGAACTGGGATTAATTCACCACCACATTGTTCACACTAGAATTACTAAACAATATTTTGGCAAGAGAAGGCAAAATGTGGATAATGTGAGAACTGTTTCATTGGATTTGGACTGAATGGAAAAATGAATTGACAATAAAGCAATGGAACGATGTGTTGAAGTCTCATTCCATGTCAATTCATGGTCAGGAATGTATTTAAAACACAGCCAAAGGGGCTCAGGTTCAACTTGCAAATCATCCCGACATAAACCAATCACAGGCAACAAGAGTGGGAGAGTGTGATAGAACGGAGAGTCTCTACCATCACTATCCCAAGCTCCAGGCTACCAATTACACGTGATCTAGTGTTGCCATGGCGACATGGATTTCAGGGAGGGAGAGGGGCTGGGGGAGGGGTTGGGGGTTGGAGTGGGGATGGGATTGTCAAAAGGTTGGTGATGGGTTGGGGGAGAGAGTGGGTGGAGGAGGGGTTGGGAGTGGGGGAGGGATATGGTGTGGGGGTGGGAGTGGAGGAGGGTATTGTAATGGGGTGGGTGTGGGGAGGCAGAGGGTTTGGGGGCTGGCTGTCCAGTCTGGATCAGATTGCTGCCCTCAGCATGGGGCTTGATCCCTACTCAGCCTGGGAGCAGATTTGGGGCCTGTCCCCATGCTGGGGATCATGGTTCAGTGGGTCAGACCTGACTTCAGGCCCAGAATCTAGGAACACCATGGTGGCTCAGTGGTTTAGCACTGCTGCCTCACAGCGCCATGGACCTGCATTCAACTCCAGCCTTGGGTGACTGTGTGGAGTTTGCATGTTCTCCCCGTGTCTGCATGGGTTTCCTGTGGGTCCTCCAGTTTCTTCCCAAAGTCCAAAGATGTGCAGGTTACAGTGGATTAGCCATGCTAAATTGCCCGTGGTGTCCAGGGATGTGTAGGTTAGGTGGATTAGCTGTGGGGGTTGCCAGGATATGGTAGGGGTGTGAATCTGGGTGGGATGATCTTCAGAGATTAGTATGGACTTGTTGGGCTGAATGGCCTGTTTCCACACTGTAGGGATTCTATGAAGAATAAAGACATGGATCTAGAGAGATTTAGAGAGAAAGCTGTAGCCATTTCTTACTTATAGAGTCAATTACAGACAGAAAGAACTACTCAGCTCATTCAGTCTTTGCCAACTGTCCCAGGAGCCACCTGTCATTCACATTCCCCAGTGTAGCCCTGTAGAGGTATTCCTCAAATGCCCATTGAATTGCCTTTGGAAACCAGCAGAGGTGGTAATTGTCATTCCTGCATTGCTTATCTAACCTCTGCTACTTATGAATGTTTTCCCCACCATTTTGCCATTTCCAGACCTGACAGAGACAGGGGAGAGTTGATTGGCTGCAGTTGGAGGTTGGGCTTAGAGTTTCAGTTGAAAAAAGTGGAGCTTTGTGTTTCTGCTTTCTGTGACATTTTAATGCTCCAACAGTGCGGAAGGCAACATGACTGAGCAGGCCTGGCCCCAGCCTGAGCAAAAAGCACCACTCTAGAGCCTGTCGCTGTTACTGGGAAGTGGAGAGTGCGTGTGTGCAGATTTTCACGTAATTCACAAGTCTAGTGCCTTTGAGCAAATGAATTTCTTTACAATCACAGCCACTTGTGAAATGTGGGACACACCGAGTGGTTTTATATCCAATACAGATTGATAACAATTGCAGCAGCCTGTGCCACTGGGCCCACTGAAACTGAATCAGAATCAAAGAGTAAATTGTTCACTAGCCTGATTCAGAGCATTCACTTGGTGTGATATGATTTTAAGGGAGCGAGTGGTATTTTCCACTCGCAGTGAGACAACATTAAACACTGAGAACTCATAAAACAGGTTTTGAGGTACTTTAAGTTTATTATATCCCTCTTTAGTTCAGGGTCACAGTAACGTGGCTGAACAGAAAGATTAAAAGCCATGCTGATGGTTTTCAAATAGAGTTGTATAACATAATAACTGGCTAGTCAAAACCCCATATTAAACTGTGGTCCAGGTGATAGAATAAACATCACAAATTGAATTTTAGGTTGACTACCAAATAATTTTGCATCTTTCCTCTTTGTGATTAAAATCTATTTCTGCAGTGCTCTCAGTTGTGTCTAATTACTGTACTTAAGCACAAGATCAAGCCTTAAGTTGAAATTTTACCAAATATTTCAAGTCAAAATAGAATGGAGAGATTAACTTACCGGGTACCGTGTTCAGTAAACACTGTTTACAGACAAGGCAACTGCTCTCTGGATTGAAAATCGCTCCAAAGTTTGAAAGCAGTCAGATTTTCCAAAATACTGCTGCTTAATAAGCTGATGAAACTTCAAATATCCCTACACGTTTGCCGAAAGTCAGGGAAGTACTAGGGCAATGGGGACGGAATTGTACAATGCAGTCTTGGAGGAGTTTACAGATAGCAGCTGCCTGGCAGTGAGTTCTGTCATGTGGGACTGAAAGACACAACACAGCTACTCCTCAAACTTGCCAATCACCTTTTCCACTGACCATAGTAACAGGGAGTAAAATCTGGAGATGTTAGTTCCTCCACTGCACAACAGAGCTGGAAGGAAAGTCAAAGTACAGTGCAGGATTCCGGTCAGGTACTGCACTCTGAATGGCTTGTTCTGTTGCAATGCATTGCACAATTCAGTAAACTGCTCAGCCCAGTCCCTTCTGGGCCACTTATTAACTTCTAAATCATATTTTCCATCCCCCACTATCCCTTCAGGGAAGAACAGAATTGGAAAGAACAGTGACCTGGCCTTGTACTGATAACCCAGTGAGAAAATAGTAAATACAGGATAGGGATGTGTGGAGTCAACACAGCCTAGAAATGAAGCGATCAGGAACAGCCTTCCTAGAACATGCTTGACCCAGTCCCAACCTCCTCCACCACAGATTCTCCTTAGCCTGGGGGACGGACTGTGCCTTATGGAGGATGTAACAGACCACCCCATATTGAGATTTCCCTCCCCCGGTCTGCATGACAGCAGCTTTGGTACAACCATTATTTCTGGCTCACAATAACCTGCTCTCTGATGGATGGTATGGCAATGGCTCTTATTGTTCAGACATTGGGGTTGGGGAGTGGGATCCTGAAGTAGGTGTAAAGTGGAAAGCTCTTGGCATCCTCTGATAATTGGCCTTTGAAGGTTTGAGGGAACAGTGGGCTGGTGTAGACTCTCCTGCCAAGTGGATGGATAGTTCCCAGCATGATGTGCTGTGTGTTTGGAGAAACACATTTGGAGACCCTAACTTGCCAGAGTCATGTGACCTCTGCTTTCTGTAACGAGGCCTGATAGAAGAGGTCATTAAAACTGAAACTGCCTGGATTGGGAGAGCTGTATGGGGAGCCAGCTAGGACAAGGAAGAGCAAGGAATAATTTGCACTACCGGGTGAGTCAGGTTGGCTTGGAATTTTCAACTCCCTACTCCTGAAGAAAACAAAGATGATTTGAGAAAGAATAGGAACTTCTTCCTAACTTAGTGGCAAATTTGAGATGTCTGCAGAATTAAACAGAAAACCTGAACTAATGACAGTGCTGGGGAAAGAATGCCACAAGCTGCATTGCACCCTAGATCTCACTGAGAGGCAAAAACACCAGGACTGGAGAAATTCCGAAGACCTCAGAGATATATTTTGAACCCTCTGTTATTGATGAACAATATGTGTTTAATAACAGAGCTCAACAGAAGATGGAGATTACTAATGTGTGTGCAACTATGCTGAGACATGTGGCTGAACCTTGTGAATTCAAACAACTGAAGGATGATATCAGCAGAGACAGGATTGTTTTAGGAAAAGGAGATCCTGTTGTAAGAGTATATCTGCTGACAGAAGAGAAATTTCTTCTCAAGGAAGTTATTCATAAGTGCAGAAGGCTCTGAAGTTATCAATTATCAGTTAAAGAGTGTTCATAGAAGAAAGGTCGAGGCGTTTGCCTTATGCTGAGAGACAGTGCAGGCCTACACAATGGAGAAAGGAAGCCATAATTCTAGTAGGACCAGCAAAAAGGTTATGACCTGAGACTGGCTATAAATACTGCGAAGGACACTGCATTAAATAAAAGGAAACATGCCTAGCGTGGGGGAAACAGTGCTTAAACTGCAAGAAGTGGAGTCATTTTGAAAGAAGCAAAGCAAACTGATAAAGATACCTGACACGTAGAGACATCAGGCAATGATTTGGACTTAACTTTACATCATAGAACTGGTTGCAGCATCTGGTATTAAGATGATAAATGGTTTGTGATGACTGCAGAAGGACAGCATTAAGTGAATGCAAAGTGTCAGAAAGACACTGGCACTTTGTGTAACGTCATGAGCTTTGCAGGCAAGTATGATGGGCCAAGATAATGACCCAATGATAAAACCCTCAAGGATAAAGTTGAGGCTACATGATGGAATGATCATCGTTACACTAAGTACTTGCTGTCCTTCCTTCTAGCCAGTCACTTGTGACAAAACAATTCTGCTTCTTGCAGTGAGAACACTGCTTTTCCCATCCTGGCAATGGTCTGGTCTGTCATGAATATACTCTAGCTGCTGATTTATAACCTCAGCACTTCTACAAATGTCAACCGCTTTGCCAAAAGTGAGTTTCTCCTCTCTCAGTAGACATGCTGTCAGTGCAGGATCTCTTGTGCCTAACGAAAATCTGGTGATAATTAAATCAGCTTTTAGTTGCACAAATTCATAGCATTCTGAGATGTGCTAATTTAGTCACATATGGAACGGAAGACATATTTTCATCTTGGGCCCTAATATTGAACACAAAAAACCTTCATAAATTACCTTCACTTGGGGTTCAAAGCCTGCTTTCAAGACTTCAACATTTCTACAGTCTTTTTTTTCAGGTCTTTGGAAAGATAAAGGGTGGAATACACATGGAAACAGTCTCTCCCCAACAATGATTAAAGTGTAATTACCTGTAGCTGTTCTAGCTGTTTAATTAAAACTGTCACAAATTTATCATTACAAGTGGAGAAACTCTACTTCTATTTCATTACAGCTTTCATTTTTACATGCACCAGGGAAGTTTGCAGGTTTTGTGCCTTACCCAGTAATTAAGTAGCAGCCTGCTTCTTTGATCCCTTTTGTCTGTAGTTTCTTTTGTCTTTTAGCTGTGTTCAGCAGCTCATAACATTCTTGTATTCCTCTTTTAGTAGCTGTGCTTCTGTACAGCTTTTTGACATTCAATCTCTGCTGCGCTCTGGCACAAGGTTATGAGCTCACACAACAACAGTCTCACCATCACCTTCTCACGGGCAATTAGGGTTGGATACCAACTGCTGGCACAGCCAGAGATGCCCACATCCTATGAATAATGAAGAAAAAGCACCTCACAACCAGCTGCCATGGTAAAGGTATGATGACATATCCTTTGAATGATCTCAGTATTGAGCTGAAGGTTTGAAGGCATTTAAATCTTCAGCTCACCTTTAGCTTTCTCGGAGTAATCATGGGGCAGTTAAGAACAGGCCTTGGAGTACTCTCAGCAAAGACAGCAAACTTGAACCTTCTCCTGAAAGTCTGTGACTATTTGCACAGAAATAGATTTTCATTGGGTTATCCCATAGAGAATCAACATGATTGAACTACTGAACTGTCTGATAGCCAATCACAATTATATGACCTTTCAAATTGAGAAACGTTTTATTGACGACACTTGACAATGGGATCCCAGACTTACCTGCACTATTTCATTAGCCACATCTGGACTGACGATTGACTTTCTGTTGGTACTTTGCACAGACCTGTGGCCTGCAGAGAAAAATTCCATCCACGTTGCTGGAGGTTAAACAGCCTTTCACAGGCTGTAGCTTTGCTGTGGTAACAAAAGCATTTGGGGGAGGCAATAGCCTAGTGGTATTATCACTGGACTGTTAATCCAAAGAGACTTAGACAACATTCTGGGGATCCAGGTTCAAACCCTGTGAATTCAATAAGTATCTGAAATTAAGGATCTAATGATGACCATGAATCCACTGTCAATAGGATTTGATAGCCAGGGACTTTTTCCCAGGGCAGAAATGACTATTATGAGGGGGTATAATTTTAAGGTGATTGGAGGAAGGTATAGGGGAGATGTCAGAGGTAGGTTCATTACACAGAGTGTGGTGGGTGTGTGGAATGTGCTGCTGGCGGTGGTAGTGGAGTCAGATACTTTAGAGACTTTTAAGCGACTCTTGGATAGGCACATGGATGATAGCATAATGTAGGGTATGCAGGGTAATCTGATATTAATAGGATAATAGGTTGGCACAACATAGTGGGCCAAAGGGCCTATACTGTGCTGTACTGTTCTACGTTCTATATTCTATGATTGTCGGGAAAAGCCAGCTGGTTCACTAATGTCCTTTGGGGAAGGAAACTGCCATCCTTACCTGGTCTGGCCTACATGTGACTCCAGACCCACAGCAATGTGGTTGACTCTTAACTGCCCTCTGGGCAATTACAGATGGACAATAAATGCTGCCTAGCCAGTGACACCCTCATCCTGTGAATGAATAAAGGAAAAAAATGTTTGAAGCCTAATTTTATGTTCTCTTTATTTTTTTTATCTCTCATTACTGGATTATAATGGTCTGATAACACCAAACTGGATGTCAACCATTATAGGAAAGTGATCTCTTTTAACTGATTGAAATCTGGACAGGGTGACTGTGTGTATTGAATCTGTTAGGGAGAGTTTGGTGGTGCCCCTGGGTCTTCATTTCCAAGAAGAGGAGGAACTGCGATTCCAGATTCCATCAGCATACGATGAAATGTTAAGCGGTCATCCAATATTGTCTAAAAGGAAAACAAGTAATGGTTAATTGTTTAAGGTATTCTGCTTCACTCACTATACCTTTGTTCTCCACGTCAGTGTTGAATATTTTGGATTCTCATGACAAATAACACAGATGCTAATACACTGTTAGATTGCAAGCCAGACAAACTTGAGTGTTTTTGGTTTGCATTCACTCATGGGATGTAGGTGTCTCTGCCTGAGCCAACATTTATTGCCAATCCCTAATTACCTTTAGGGCAGTTCAGGGTCACCTACATTGCTGTGGGTCTGGAGTCAAGTTTCGGAGACACCAGGTAAGGATGGAAATTTCCTTCCCTCAACGACATTAGTGAACTAGATGTGTATTTCCTAACAATTGACAATAGTTACATGGTCATCATTAAACTCTTAATTACAGATTTTTTTAGTGAATTCAAATTTCACCATCTGCCATGGCAAAATTCAGACATGGGTCTGCAGAACATTAGCAGAGTCTCTGAATTAATAGTCCAGACTTGATATCACCAGGCCATTGCCTTGTGATGATATTATGCCTTTAAGAGGTGTATTTTGTTTTTTTTTAAGGGAGGCTTTGAGCCAGCAGTACCAAGCTATCTCTCGAAGCCAATAAAGTAAAAGTGTTGTGCGCCCTTGGGTTTTTTTTAGAAGTTAGAACAATAGAAGCAGCATGAGTGGGTGGAGTCAGGCTCCCACAGAACCAGAGTTTTAGTTTAGCTTTCAGTAGCTGCTGGGATTTGGGAGCCAGTTGTAGAAACTGATATTTATCTCTCTCTTACAGCTAAAAGCTGGAGTTCTCTCTGCTGCCAGGCATGCCTGT